CACCTTGCCAGCTAATAATTACTGTTATTAATAAAAAAAATCCAACCATAAAATGATTAAAAATTTACATTATTTTTACGTTTAAAATAAATAAATTACAAGTTCTCACTTATGCAGCGTATTAAGACAAAAATAAATAGATAAATGTTGTTTAAAACATGTTGAACGAGTAAACTTAGAAAATTTGTTTGAATCTATCAATTAACGTGGTAAATTAACGTATGAGATTAACAATTAAAATTAAATTTATGTTTTTTGATCATTACAAAAAAAAAAATAAGACAGAAAGAGGGGTGAGCAATATTGCTAAGTTAAAAATCATTTAACAAAGAATTAGTCACAATTATAATTCACATATACTCCAATAGTTGGTGACAGAAAAAAGAAAAAAGAGATAAAATGGAAGTCAGAAGACTTATTAAGCAATAAAGAACGAAAATGGGGGAAAGACTATTGAAAAATAGACCCCTTTTGAACATGATGATGTTATTGTTATTTAGTAACCCTCATTTCAATTTTCAAGCATTTTCTTGAATTTCATTGGCTGTTAAATAAAAATAAGCTTTGAGAAATTTCCATAATAAAACGGTCAAAAATTTGTGCAAAAATAGGCTCAACTGACATAAAAAATCTTTCTCAAATTCATAATTTAAATGTTTCAAGAAATCCTATTGGCTAAAAAATAAAAAATACAACATTCGCCCACACATTTCTCAGAAAAATTTGCAACAAGCTACAAGCCACTGGAGCCAATTTTGTTGTTAAAAAAACTATAAATAGAAACAGTAAATAAATTTTCATCGCATTTTGAGACTCACACATGCAAAGATACACAGGGGAATTATGTGTCAAAATTGCCTCCAAAGAAACAAACTTTCTTTATGAGAGATTAGAAAAATTCATACAACAAATTTTTTCACTTAATATCTTTCATAGAAAAATCTTTTGTCTAAGTTAAATTCAACCTTTCAATCAAAGGCAGACAACTTTTTAGACATTGAACATTTCTGAAACAGCAAAGAACTTTTCCTCTATACCTTTGCACACATCATTACAAACAAAGAAATTGTAAATTGTGTATATAAAATTTAATCTGTTGTTTCAAACATGTATTTTTTGTCATGATTGAATATTGTTACCATTTGGTTATTTCTTATAATTTATGTTTGTGGATATTGCATATTTTATTTGCAGCACAATCTTAAATATTCACGCAACCATCTTAGATCCACTACAGTTATGCCTTTATTCTAGATGCTAAAATTGTGGAGGTTCATATATATTATATACAACGGCTAGTTAAATAACCGTATAAAAAAAAAAAAAAATTTACAACTGTTTTCCGACTATACATATTTACAAACCAAATACTGTATTTATAATTAGTTATAAACTGTGACATATCTTTATACTATTTTTACATTTAAATAATATACAATTTAAGATTCGCAAAATTACACTATGCATAAAATAAAAAAAAATTTACAAAAAAAAAAAGAAAAAAATGTTTTCATCTATCTCGAACTTAAACTTTTTTTCCTCTTGATTGCTTGTTCACGCACTGGCTCGTTTTAGCCATAACCATTTAGCTGTTCTTTCTGCTGTCTCAGTAATGGTTTGGATAACCTTTTTTTTTTGTTCCCACTATCTCAATATCTGTTAGGGTGGTGACTAGTGATTTTGCTACAAAACCCCTTGAGCCTACTTCAATTGGCTTACAGCTTGCCTTCCATACATTGCTCCTACAATTTTCCAGTAATTCGTTGTATTTTAGTTTTTTTCTGTTCATTCGCTTCTTCTGCATTATCCTCATAACAGACTGTTAATTCCCACATAATGATTTTCTTTAGCTTATTTGAAAAGAGGACTAAGTCTGGACGCAATAGGGTCTTGAAGATGTTATCCGGGAAGTTTAATCTTTTGCCTATATCTACTCTAAGTTCCCAGTCTGTTGCACATGATAGACAATTGGATGCAATCATTTTCTTTGGGTTTGGTTTCATGCCAGCTTTAATAAAATTTATAACATTCCTGTTTTAATTAAAGATGTTTGTACAGATGGTTGTGCTAACGACTTCTGCTATGTCTTTTAATATTTGATCATGGCACCATCTATACCTACCATCAGTCAGTGCTGATTTGCAGCTACTAAGTATGTGCTTTAATGAACCAATTTGACCATATAAGGGGCATAAGGGCAATTCCGATTTAGTCCATAGTTGTAGTTTAACTGGGCTTGGGAAAAGGTCGTAAACTGATTGGGTTAAAAAGTTCATGCCTATTTCATTATGCCATAGTTCAAACCATCTAACGTTCCTATGAATCACTGTTTCCCATTTTGTCCACGCTTCTTGTTTTAACCCAATCATCTTTGCTACTCTCATTTCCTCTTCCCCTGTGTGAATTTTATCCAGTAAGAGTCAGAGTTTTTCTTTACCTACAGCTTTGTCAATTCTAACTGTGGGGAAAAATCCAAGCCCTGCATGCCCAGTGACAACAGTACCCAGTACCACTTTTTTATGAAGATGCTCTTCTGCCAATTTCAACTCCTTTACAGCATTCCATTTCCTCCCAATGTAGACTTCAATATCCGCTCCTGACACTTTTTAATCCTTGGAGAACTTATATCGTATTACTGTTTGCACTTTAGCAACTTTGTATTCTTGTCTTTTAAAGGGGAGTTGAAGAATATGGAATTACCGTAAAGAGCAGTGTGAGACACTTTAGTACTTTAGCCATCTCCAAGTGTTGATCTTTTTTCCTATCTGTTCTACCTGAACTCATAGATGGACAACAGCCACAATATCTTGGGAAGAATAACAACTGATAAATCTATGCCTTATATCAACCAGGTTCAAGCCAGACTTGTCTACTTTATCTAACCATCCTTCTAGAATGTACTTTGTTTCCTGGAAGATGGGGTATTGTCAAAACACTTACCCAAGTTTTTGATAGGGTTTTGTTTTATAGTCAGGATATATTCACCAGACAATTTAAAACAATCCCTCTCTGATGTTTTTCCTTTTTCAACACCAGTGACCTTGATTTGGCAATGTGAAACTCATCCTCCAATAAAATAAGTTTCTCCAAACTTCTACCAATCACAGATGGGGATGTTATGGTCATATCATCCATGTATGCTCTTATTGGAGGTTGCCGTTGACCACATCTTGTTAAAGGACCTCTGCATTCTATTTCCACAGCTTCTATAAGCATATTCATGGCTAAGGAAAAGAGGGTAGCTGAGATGGTGCAGCCTGTTATAATGCCTCTTTCCAATCTATGTCATGCAGATGGTGTGTTTCCTACTGCTGCTCTCATTTTGAAATTATTATAATAATCCACTATGGTCTCTATAATTTGGGCAGGAACATGATGGCATTTTAAAGATTCTTCTATCAACCGATGTGGGATTGAGCCATAGGCGTTCTTAAGGTCCAGCCACAGGAAGCTATATCACTCTTATGTGCTTTCACGTCTTTTAGCAGCTGCGTAATTACACCTGTGTGTTCCATGTACCACAGTATGCCTGGGACACTTCCTTTTTGAACAGAGGTGTCAATGTATTTATTATTTAAGAAGAAATCTGTTAAGCATCAATTTAAAATACTAAAAAATATTTTTCCTTCGACATTCAATAGGGAAATGTACCTAAATTGATTTAGGTACATTCCTCTTTAGGGATCCATATACCTTCTGAGCACCTCCATTGTACAGTTATCATCCCTCTTCTCCAGACAATTTTTAGTAACCTCCTTAACATATGGAGCAGCATTGGGCAGCATTTATAAACTATGTAAGGGACTCTGTTAGGTCCCAGGGCTGATCCTGATCTGGCTGTTTTTAATATTGTCTGAATTTCTTTCCATGTTGGTTCTTTTAACTCAAAAGGGCACACAGGCAGGTTCAGTATGATCAGAGATGAGTTTTCTCTCAGCTGTATTTGTCTATTTGGGTCACTCAAGGTTAAACATGGTTATGGAATATCCATTTTCTTTTTCTTCGTCCAGAAGTTAGGGTAAATTAGTATAAACATTGTTACAATAGTCATGCACAAGTCAGATTTGCACTGAGTTGCAACTAAAGAAAAAGCATGGAAAGTGGGAAGAGAGTTCATTCATCAGTGGACCAGGGAAACTAATTAATGTTCCTTGGCAGGAACATAATTACCATGTTGTGCTACATCTTAGAACAAGGGGCAGAAGGACTATGAGTGAAGAAATTGTTTTCCTTTTCATAAACTTCAACAGCCCCACCTAATGACTTTTGCTAAGTGAGGTAATCATATTTCTGGTTCCTTTACTTTTAACATCATGGGAAAATGTATTTCTTTTTATTATTCATTATTATTATTTTATCTAATGATTTTATTTAATTTTCCCACAACTTCAATTTATTATTATGGTGCAGTAACTGTTTTATGGTTTGTTTTCTTTTAATTCACATAAATATTTAATATTTTTTTCTTCTAGGCAAAGGTTAGCAGCAGTTTTAAAACTTTTTTCACAGGTAATAGAATTTGATTAGTATGATCCAAAACTTTGCTATGGAAAGTGGTACATTTCGTATTCTTCAGGAAAGGAAAAAAAATCTTGAAAAATTTTTAATAGTAAAATGTAATGTTAGCTTATTGTTTTATGGCAGGGAGAAGATTATCTAACTCTTTCCTACTGAAGTGAAATATTGTCCCAAAAGGGCAGTTACATGTTTAAATGTCCTGTTATGAATAATTTAAATTTATATTTAATTACTGAGAATTATTAAACACTTATCTCCCTTGAGTTCCACGTCGTGAAAAATCATGAAACAGTAATTACGAGTTATCTTCTCCTACTTACGTAATTTCTACCACGCCAGGTGGCGACGGTGCAACAGTGTTTACAGCGGAAATATGAAGCTGGCGATGTTTGGTCATTTTTAAAGATTTCCAGAACATTTTTGTCACAAAATATTTGTCTACAAAAAGAAGGAGAATTTCTCTAAGGAAGTAACAAGACGACATGGGCAATGCCTTTTCTTTTGTCGGCCACAAAAGAGGCGAAGGTGGAGTGAAAAGAAAACAAGAAGCTCTTACCATTGAGAGCGATACTGACTTGAATCTTCCGAAAAGGTAAGCTTAAAAAATTAATTAATTAATTACAACTTGATTAATTTTAAAGTTGTTTTTTTTTTTTTATTTTAAATATCCCTTTTGCAGGAATGAAATTTTGCAGTATTGTTTTTTATCATGCTTAAATTGTCTTGTTGATAATTTTGAATTAAAATAGCAAAACAACAACATTGAGCATAAAAAATGATTTGACTTAAAAAAAAAAAAAACTTGCACGAAATTAAAGAATCTTCTGAAATATAAATTAAAAAAATAAATAAAAGAGCATCTTTACAAACTTGAATCTTTTTATTTTATTGCTGTCATTTGTTTTTTAATTATTTTAAGGACTGTTATTGTCATTCTCTACTAAATAAATAATTTCTTGTCTTCAGTTTTTTATTTTTTATGGTACCTTGTTTGAAATTTAAATACACTTTGTAAAACCACATTTATTTTTGACAATAATGCATACAAAAATAAGATGAGTTTATTTTAATGTCTCTAAAACAGAAAACGTGCTTATTTGCTGTGCGTTTTACGATAATGGGAGCCGTTAATGTTTTTAACTGTATAGGCATCAAAGAAATATAGATAATTATTAGTTAGTTATTACCATTTAACTGTAAGAAATATATTGCTGTTAAAAAGGTTTTAAAAGGTGAATTTCTTTAAAAAGTGAAAGAGTGGTTAATTTTTTTTTTCTTTATTTGTGTAGGGGGAAGTTCTTGTTGCCCTTCCTTTTGAGCTCTTAAAGACTTCTTTAATTACTAGCCTTTTCATTGTAAATAAGTACCTGTGTAGTGTTTTTACTTTCTCTAAAAAAGGATGGGCGAAGAAGTTAACTTTTAAATGTGTTTTCTCTTTTTAGCAAACTGCACCTAAAACTTGTATTATTTTCGGTTGATAATTGACTGATTGAAAAACACAGACAGATCTTGTTATGGAAATAAACGAGAAATACTTCTGGAGCTACATGCGAATAATGACCAACCAAAAAAGACTGTAAAAAAAAAACAAAATCGAATATCGCAATAACAAATATATGCTTCATGGTTTTGGATACATCTGTGGCCACTTAATAAAATAATGCGATTTGTTTATTTATTTATAGACACTTTCTTCTTTTAAATCAAAATAAACTGTAATACAGGCCCATGAAAAACGTTAAAGAATACACCAGATCATTTATTTTTACTTACCCGGTACATTTCCATATTGTCTCGTTAGAATTCCGATTAAGATACAAACAATTTTAAATTACTAATATTTTTCTTTTCGCGTTTTTATTTCGAGATTTTATTTATGTATATCGCGGGCTGATTAATAAATCCGTACCTTATTATTGGAATTTTTGGTCTGAAGTTTTCACTGTACATGTGATTAAATAGTAACTCACGATCCTGTAAGGACTGCAGAAATACATGTAGTGTAGCCGTAGCAGCAGCAGCAGTGTGTCTTGGGCAAAGTCGGCTGAGGGAGCACCAACCCTTTCCAGGTTGTGTTCCGTCAGTCTTATTCAGATTTTCCTTCTTCTAAACTGGTTGCCAACCAAGTCTATAGGGCCCAGTCTGTCCTGCTATTTAATTTACTTATAGATAATGATTCATACTTTTTTCCAAAGGGTATTTAATTTGCAGGAACTTGTTGACCCTCCAATTTCTCATTCCAAGCCACTCACTCACTACTGAATTTAAAAACTACAGATAAGGACGGAAATAATGTTGAAAAGTCATTATTTTTTGTATAATACTTCCCCCACCTCATTATTGAAGTGACAGTTGATGTAATTTTTTAATTTTTTTTTTTTTTTTTTAAATTTCATATTTTTAAAAATATTTATTTTTTTCTACATTTGATTTTAAAGCGAATTTAATATAGATAAATGGTGGTGAAGAAAAATAAAAATGTGAAGATGTTCTGTTTGATTATTTTTGGGGCAATGTCCATAGCGGTGTTGGTCATAGTCACAATTAATACTGTAAATTAAATAAACTTCCAATAATTGTGATAAAATTTTAAAATTGCAATTTATTGACCTTTATTACAAAGGTTTTGTTTTGTATGTAATGGTGTGAATAAGTTGCCCTTCTGTGGATGTATCTTTTCATCATAAACAGTCATGTTTTTTGAAATGTTCATAAAAATGGACAATCTCTCTGATATAGAAAAAAGTTCATACATTTTAAATATCATTACTCACAGTTTACAGGCGGAAAGGAAGTACAAGCATCTTGATTTAGAGAAGCTGTCACGTAGTTTCAGTTGTCGGTGAGTCTTTTGATCTCTAGCCGCTTTGCTTATTTCTTTGGGTAAAATTAGTTGCTTGGCGTAGATTTGTGTAGACGAGTTGGCATATTTTATTTTTTGAGTTGACTGATTGCAGCTTATTACAAAATCTCGTATTTAGCTATTTTCCAGCTATATAAAGATAAGATTTTTGAATTTACCCAAACCATTGATTAACGTTATTTTTTTTATATCTCGTATTCTTTTTTACTATGTCTTCAAAATTCTAATCTTTACTTTAGATTTTATTTTTAATAGCTTTTCCCAGGAGCCTATAGTTTTGATGTGTGTGTTGATTCTCATATATAGCTTTTTGACATGCCTCTGAAAATTTTATATGCTTAATGTTAATTATTAAATTTTGAATATTACAACATTTATTCCATCAGATTGTGATTACAAAAAAGACAATGCTGGCTTCTGCTTCTAAACAATCTTTTTCTTTTTATTTGTTTTATATAATCAAATATTTTTCTGTTTTATAGATTTTATTTTTTATCATTTCACCCCAAGTAATGCAATAAAGCCACTAAGACACAAGGGATTACTAAGTGTGAGAGAATATAAAACAGAAAAAAAGAAGACATTATTAAGAGAAAACAGGAAAAGAGCAGGAATTAAGAAAGAAGATAAAGATTAACAATGCATTTAAATTTTTGAAGATCAAAGTTGACTGGGATACAAGAAACCAGAAGAGTCCTATCAGTAAGAGAATTTACAGTTACATCTAGACACTTCAACTGTAAAATGATGATACCTTGCTGCTAATCTAGTAGTACATTTAAATTCATAAAGTTTAGGTATCAAGGAGGAAAGCTCATCAGAACAATTACCATGAAAATATTTATAGAAAAGGTACAAGGAAGCTACATTATGGCAGTGGGAAAGTGACTGAAGCCCAAATGCCAGATCAAGACTGATACCATTACAGATTCTTCTTTGGATTTTATCAAGAATCTCTAAATACATAGAAGTAGTACCAGACTAGATGTAATAGCAATATTCAATGCATGGATGAATGGTAGACTTATAAATGTGTAAGATAATTTGGTGATAATTGTCTAGCATGATACCATTAACCAACTTTCCTAACAGCAGACCTAGAATTGAGTCAATATAATCTTTCCACTTCATATCAGCTGAAAGCCTTAGACTGAGAAAGCACACTCTCCTGGGAGGTTAGCATAAGCCATGCTGATAGAAGGCAAAAAAGGTTCTCTCAGATTATTAAAAGAGAGCAGTTTTGTGTTTGAGGCATTAAAATTAACAAACTATTTCTTGCTCCAGTAGGTCATCAACTGCCAATTTGACCTTATTGAACCAATTAGATTTATCCATATGATGAGTAAATAGTTGTTTCATCAGCATAGATACAGTGTTGAGAACTGATGATATCAGGAAGATCATTGATGAAAATTAGGAACAACATATCACCTGTATTAATACAAAAAGATCTAGAACAGTGGCTGTTCAAGACCACTTTCATTTTGCAATTTAAGAAGAAAGATTGAATAAAATCAAAAATTAAAGTTGTGAAGAAGACCAGCATACCAAGCCCTGTCAGATGCTTTTGGGATATCCAAAGCAACAGTCTGAGCTTCATCATTCTTATCTAAAGCTTTATAAACTCTTTCAGCAATAACCATTGACACATCAGCAGTGAACCTAGAGAAGTGAAAATCATATTTCTTATCTGAAAGAAGACCTTGCAAAGTAAGATGCTTAACAATTTCAGAATTGATTAGAGTGTCTAGTATTTTGTCAAAAAGAGAGAGAAGACTAATAGGCCGATGGTAGAAGGATCAGACAGTTTACCCAAGTTCTTAAAGACTGGAACTACACAAGAGGATTTCCAACAAGCAGGAAAACAAGAAGCAGCAGGACACGTATCGTAAAGTTTATAGGAGAACAGGAGCCAGTTCAGGGGTACATTTCTTAAGTACTATTGCAGGGATACCATCAAGTCCACATGCTTTGTGGTGGCGGGGGTCCAGTTTAGAGATGATAACGGAAACCATGAACAGAGTTACACCTTTATCACACAATAGAGGTCTATGAAATGTAATAATACCACATTTGTTGATTTATTTATTGTTAGAATGATTGTCTTCTTTTTTTTTTTTTTTACTAGTTTTTCTTTTATCTTATTATGTTCATTGCTATTTATCACTAAAATGTTTGCATTTCAGCATTGTTCGCCATATCTTTGGGATCTCTCTCTATCTATATATATATATATATATATAGGAATCTAAAGATTTATTTGCTGAATGATGGTAACATCTGTCTGCTCAGGTCGAAAGATGATTAATTCTGCACAGATGTAAATGAATACAATAGTCATTTGTACAAAATATCCTGAATAATTGCCATGTTACATATTTAATGCTTTAAAATGGATCATAAGGCTGATTTCATGGAATTGGAGAAATGCTTAATAATTTCAGAGTTTGCAAAAAAAAAAAAAAAAAAGATCAGTAGGTAACACCAAACAGTAGAGAAGTTCTTTGGTGAGCCAAGATGGCACCAGTGTAGGTCTGATAAAGGCAAGTTATTTTGCCAGTCCCTGTCCTGGCTCAAAAGTAAAATTCTCAACAATTTTTGTCAATCTAGGAGATCTTTAGACATTGAGGGGCAATCAAGCCTCAAAAAGCACAATATATTGATTCAGCTTATTGGATACAATTATCAAAATGTATGTAATTTTATTTAATGTATTATTTTTATGATATTGCAGAATTAAAATATTATTTTAGATGCTATTTTTATTTCTAAAATTAGTTGTGAGTGTTACATTGATTTATTTAAACTATCATATATCAATCAAGATGATTTGAGAGTACATCAACAAAATATGTCTTTATGTAACAATAAAGATGAGAACATTAATTTAAATAAATCAGTGTATAATAATGATTGCTCATCTCAAGAATCAAAAACAGAAATTGTCAGAATATTGAACTATCTGACATTAGCTTTAGGTGACCTTGAAAGGCTTGAAAATCACACCAACTGATATTCCTTCAAAATGGTAACCTCATGTTGGTTAAAAATTATGCAATTACCTGGTTGTTGTTAGTTAAATCCTTCAATACGGTTGGATTTAAAATACAATTTAAAGATTTAAAAAAATCAAATGAATGTATTTTTGGTACATTAACCTTTTATTCAGTCTTGTTAATTTTTGTTAGATTTGCATACCCGATGAAGTTAGCTTCTATACAAAATATTAATCATGGGTTTATTTATGATGCTGATTAATTGTGATATTGAAATTATCTGATTAAAAAGAATATTAAGATTATTTACATTTGTTAAAAGAGTAATAGAACAAAATGAGCTCAGATTGTAACTCTCATCACATACTGTCAAGAAAAACTTAAATTATTTGCTTCAGCTCTCCCAGCATGATGGATTTCTCCATTTTTGTTGGGTTTTTATTGATATAATAATTATTGATATTTTTTTCTTGAATGAAGAAAACCTGTATCTATTGTCAGTATTGTTATTAGTTGTATAAAGGTAAAAAAAAAACATGATTCTGGATGAAATCATCTTCAGCTGCGATGCAATAAGAGCTTCTTGAACCCAAAGAGATGCTTCACACACACACACACACACACACACACACACACACACGTTGCAATTATGTATAATTAAAAAAATGAGACAGAAAGGGTTAAAGATAAAGTACGAGAAGAAGCGAAATTACTTTTATTTTTGAAAGTTGATTTTTTTTTTTTTTTTTTTTTTTTTGTGTTAAGCAGAGACACCTTGAAGTAACTTTGTTGTTTTGGAGAAAGATATTACCAAAGAGGCCATATAGAAAAGCTGGACTGTCAATTGATTGATGGTACTGCCTTCAAGTGGAAGTTATGAAAACATCTCCAGCTGGAAAAAGTCGATTGAGAAGATAATATTTGGTAATTTTTAAAGACAAGGCAGAATTGAGAAACTGATTTATTCCACCTACCAAAAAGTGGAAATTGTAAACAAATTGAGAAATAAAATCTCTTTATGTAAAGACCCAGCCCAGGGTTCATAAGTGTTATTGAGTGAACGAGATATGTAAACCAAATACTTATTAATAGCTGTCGGAGGAAACAGTTGATAAATTTCTGATTATAAAAACAAGACCCCAAACTGGGAAAAATATGCTGACTAAAATTAAAGTGAAAATTACAATTAATGACCAGAAGCTAAGCCACACCACGCTGTTTAAAAATCAGATTTGTCAAAATGACAACAGTGGTGAAAAAATTAAAGGAGATACCAAGAGGGACAGAGGAATTGCCTACAAATGGGTTAAGAATTACCAAGACATGGATTTTTTTTTTTAATTTTTTAATTTTTTGAGCCAGTTTTCTGATAACTGCTACCTGTAGGAAGAAGGGATCTCCTAAATTTGTAAAGCTAATTAATTTTCCAAAATCAGACAACAAAGAACTCTTGTTGGAAGACTGGGGAAACCCTGAGCCCCCAAACACCATCATCCCCCATGCTGGACTTAAATCAATATAACCAGTGCTGAAGAGGCCAAGACAGTTGGTGAAGCAGATGATGATAGAGAACTACACTGCCAAAGCCCACGTGACTTGCTGCCAAAGAGAACTCCCAACTTAAGTCTTGTCCTAGACTTAGCTAAAATGAACTAAGTGTCATGATAGGATTCAAAATGGGAAGGGTTAACTTCTTTCTGTACAAAGAACTATATAAACCACATTGAAAATTGACAAAGAATTTCCTGTCTTTTATTTTGTTGGCAAAGAACATTTTTTTCCTTTGAGACACATCTTTGCTGTGGTTCAAACCAGCACTGTGATTGTTGACAACAACTCGGTGTTTGTCAGCTTCAAGATCAAAAAGCACAATGTGGCAGAACAGAGTGCAGACTGGGACGACCACTTCAACAAGAAGTGGCATTATTGACCAGTGTAGGAATTGACACAGGACTGACTGGCGAGAAGTGTCATACCATTAGCATTATATAAAATTCTAAATGAATAAACTAAAAACAAAGCACTATTTATAGTTTTAAAACTGTAAATAATGCCATTTTTTCATAAAATATATAAATTTATTTTTTATTTATAAATTGCAAAGAAACCTTTACACATTCAGCTTTTGTTATTGATCTATTAATGTTTCAAATCTTGCTAATGGATTTGGTCAGTAATTAAATCTTTGAAATTTGGGCAAACTACCATTCCATTCCAGATGAGAAATACAAAATTAACCATTACGAATGAAGTATATATTGGGTGATAATGCTAATAGTTCTGCAGCATTTTTATAAATGTACTTCTAAAGTTATTTTAGAGGTTCTGCATATCTAAGATATTAATACTTTCATACATCTACTATTGGGAAAACCAATTTGAACAAAACCTTTATCAAATTGTAACCGAGCACATTATTATTGTTTGATTTTTGTATTCAGTCACAATGAAAATTTAATTGTTGAACAATTTTTTTTTTTTTTTTTTTTTTTTTTTTTTTTAAGGCGAAAACTAAAATCTACGACAAAGCATATCTACGATACTTTATTTCTGAATGGGGAAGGCAGTGATATTACTATTCGAGCACTTGGTCGTGATTGGCACCTTCACAAAGTTTATATCAGTCAGGTATGGAAGTTTCTAAATATTTGTAATTGTGTGTATATAGTTGGATATGAATTTTTAAAATTGAATGAATACTCTTCAGCTTTTTTTTAAATATACACAACATTTAAATATTTTATGTGTAAATTACAATTTTATATAGTCTTGCATAAATGTTTTCACATATATATATATATATATATATATATATATAATAATTTCTGATACAGGAAGTTGAAGTCATCATTCTTCTATTTTGTTGGAGTTAATGATTTTCCAAATTGATTGATATTGTTTATATTGATATAATGTTGAAAGTAATTGGTTTGAATTCATTTAGCTCATAGAATGAAAAAAAGGACTTGTTCAGTTAACAAAAAAAAAAACAATTACAATTTTAAATTTTAGTAAAATTTCAAATTATATTTTACTGATTTCCCAAAAATTTTCTACAAAACTTTACATAGTGTCCACTCTTTGAATACAAAGTGTCTCATTCTTTGCGAATATCACAAGCTTTGTAACCATTTGTGTGGTTATATTGTGAAACTCTCCTCATATAATTAAGAATGTTGTGAATTTGATTCACAATTTGTTACTTTTCAAAGTTCCCTTTGTTAGTTTCTAGCACTCAACGCAATTGGTTTTCTTTTGAATTTGAACTAAGTTTTTCTTTTTCTCTATTGGAACAATTTAGAAAGAATATTTTTTTTATTTTTGTTATGTACATGGCTAATTCTTGGTAAATGAACTTAAATCCTGTTTGTCATTAAAGGGTGCTCAGAATATATCCTTTTGTATATTTGTAGCACTTTTATATTGTTAGTGTATAAATTTGACCTTTTTGAAAAACGTATTTTTAAACAACTAATTTACAATTGTTAAGATAGGTACCTCCACGAAATCGCTAAAAAAAGAGCATAGCTTGATGAAAAAGACGCCAACCTTGCTGAAAACTAAATTTTATTGTCTAAATGTTTATGTTATTATTAAGAGGAAAGACCAAAGTTTTTTTTAATTATTTTTAAAAAATTTTCCTTCTTTTTAGAACATTCTAAATTTTGATTAAAAAAACCTTTTTTCTATTTGTATCAGCGGAACTAGTAAATAACATAGACAATTTTTAGCACATTTTTTTGGTATGACAAAATTTGATTTGAAAAATTGTGCAAAAATAGAAATAATTATCGGATGTTAATGAAACTTTCAGGAACTATTCACAGATGATCGAAATTATTATAAATATGTTTTTTTTATGAAAGTCATGGTAGAAATATTTTTTAAAAATATTTATTACCCCCCCATAACTAATTTTATGAAAACGCTAGAAATTCGATCACATCGGTTTTAGTGATTACAATAATTAAAAGCACAGGGCTTTGAGGAATGCAAATCATGTTTTTTTTTTTTTTTTAATTGGATATGCAGTACCTGAAAATCAGCTCTGAATTGTAACATACAAAACTCAATAAAACAAAGATATTATTTAATTTCAAATGCTTTTATTTGCTTTTAGTTGTTTTTATGAATATGGACAATATTTTCTGAAAGCAAAAAAATTTTTTCGATGAAAAATGAATTTTTAATACAATTATTTGTTATTTCATTAATTATAATAGATTTTACATTTAAGTTGTTAAAATATTATAAAATTAGTTAAAAGCCGCATCGGCTTTCATAAGTGTCCTTATGAGATAGATCTTTTTTTAGCGCGTTGTAAATTGTATCATTTTGACTAATCAGAAGATCCCCAGTAATTAAGAAATGTAATTTTGTGCTTATAATCGAGCTGTAATTATAAAATACGGAAGACCAACCAGAATATAATTAAGTTGCGTTATTTGAGTTAAGCATTGTTCTCCGCTGTTAAGGCCTTTACTTTTTTGCGAAACACGTGTGGAGAAGTTAATTTGATTTTTCAATTTCAACTGAGAAGGGTACCTACAAGTATCAGTATCATCTTATGAAATTTATATGATCTTATTTTTATATTAATCTCAGTTATGACATTTTTCCATAAATGAAATATCAAAATTAATAATAAAATGAATGCAAATACAAATAACAGTAGAATGTAATAAATGTACATAAAATTATAGTATTTTATGTACAATTCTGATAAAATTTCATAAGAAAGGTACCTATAAATTAATTAGATACCTTTCTTAAGAAATATGAAATTTAATGTCACTCTTAACAGTTTTATTTTAATTTCTTTACAATATATTTCCCATAAAGCATCATAAACGTAAAGGTGAAAGCTAAGTACAAAAAAAAAAAAAAAAAAAAAAAATTAGACCGCTGAAAGTTTTCGTTAAAAATAACGGGGTAAATAATTTGTTCACGTAAATGTAAATTATTTCACTTTTCTCCTTCCGTAGAACAAATTAGCCTCATGGAATTCGTAAATATATCATTCATCACATGTCAAGAGACGCGAAAGTTTATGACCTGCTTTGTTTTATTTTCAAATTACATCTTTTTGGCACAAAAGCTAAGTTAAGTTTGGTTCAAAATATTTTAAATAAACATTATAATTTCTGATTTTCTTAAAATAAGTTTGAAAAAAATGATAATTGATATTTAAAAAATTTCAAAGTCAGATTTCCTTTTTTTTTTTTTTAAAATGAAAAAAAAATGGTCAATTTTGCTGGAAAAAAAAAAAAACTAGATTTTTAACGAAAATTTCGGACGTGCTAGGAACGATTAAAAATGGAAAAAAAAATACCCCAAAAATACTTTGACCTTTCCTCTTAATAATAACAAACATTTAGACGATAAAATTTTGTTTTCGTCAAGTTTGGCGTCTTTTTCATCATGCTATGCTCTTTTTTTAGCGATCTTGTGGAGGTACCTATGTTAAGAAGTTCTGATAACAAGGATCGTCTACTTTTTACATTACTTTCCCTACTGCACTATTACTTAAACTGGAAATGTGTCAGTTTCTGAAATTAACAAAATGGCAGAAATTTTGTCAAGAGATTGATTGGACTTGCATTGGAATGGTTATGTTAGAAAATTGCCTGTTTGTTTGATACTTTTATCTATTAGTTGGATTAGAATTAAATTCCTTCATCTTATTTAATATAAATTTTATTTTTGGTTTATTTCAGTCTGAATATTTCTCATGTATGTTCAATGGATCATGGCGTGAATCCACTGAAGCCATCATAGAAATTGATATTCCTGATCCAAATATTGATATTGAAGGTGAGACACATGCAAAGTTTTTGCTCATCACTGAAAAGTTATTTTGTACAAGTATAAAAGAAAATGTCTAGTCATCTTCTGTTCAACTGAATTTTGACAGAAAAATTAACAATTTTAATGAATAATTGTTTTATACACTTGATAAGTGATTTTTCCACTGTTGCAAATTTAATTGAACTTTATTACCAATAAATTATACTTACCAGAACTTAATTTCAGTTGTAACTTTGAGAACAGTCAGTAGTACCTATGTGAAATAAATGTTTAATTTATTTTTTAACTTGAAAATAAATTGTTAGTTTTTTCTTTTAAAATCATAAGTAATGCAAAGATTCATTATATTGAAATCCTTTGTTGAAAAAACATGCTACTTTCTCAAAACCATAGCTTCATAAAAGGTAACTAATAGTTACTTTAATATTTTCATATATATTGGCAATATGATATTTTTATATTGCATAAGTAAATGATATTTTGCTCTACGTCATATTAGTGACCCATAAAAAAAACCAAAAAAACTTAGATATACTAGTAGGCATGGTAGAGTAATGGATAGCGGCTGAGGAATCAGAGAGCTGAGATTCCAGTTGAATCCATTACATTCACTTATGTGAATGTAATGGATTCTATAGCTATTCTATAGCCTTGGATGGCAACTGGTCTACCACAGAAAGAAATGGCAACCTACTGCGGGAAAAAATCTGCCTCGTCAGTCATGTATCACTTGATCGTCTAAGCATCTATCACCCATGACACATAACTGTATCTTTATGAGAAGAGGTATTTCGTACACTATTTACATTGTTCAGACTATCATCCTCATCTTTGTTGCCATATTTATCACTGATTTTTGGCCATTTGTCAAATTTTCTCGGCTTTCTTCTCACATTTGGTTGGGATTTTAACTCTTTTTTTTATTTTGCTTGGGGTAGACTGTTCTAGTTCCACTAATGGATGTCAGTTATCAGTTATCTCCTGTTAATACATCTCCAAATTCTCCACTGGCTTAACCAGGTATTGAACTCACACTCCCTATTAATGATAATGACAATATGAAAGTGGAAAATTTAAAAAAAACATTTAAAAAAAAAGATGTGTTGTGAACAGAAAGGGAATGTCCAATCTTTATGTTTGAATTTCTTTTATTTATATCCATTTGTCTTCTAGCATTGAGTTAAGTGTTGGACATTCCCTTTCTGTTCAAAAACATCTTGAAAAATTTTTTGTATGTTTTTATTCGGATCTGTCAAAATCATTATTAGTAGTTTTGTTAGATTTTATTCCAGAACTTATTTTTTCAAAAAACCCCAATTTTCTGATAATGATTTTTCAAAAAATTTTTAACCTTTTTTTTTTTTTTTTTTTTTTTCTTTTTTTTTTTTTTTTTATTTTTTTTGCCTTGTATGAGTTTTTTTTTTTTTTTTTCAAAAAAACTTTCACTTTTCATATAAGAATATCAATTTCTTTTTTTTTTTTTTTTTTGGTTTATTTCCCCCATTGTCTGACAATGATTTTCCTAAAAAATTTTTATCCCTTTTTTGCTGGTTTTCTTTCCTCTCTCTTTTTTTTTTTTTTTTTATTTTTCTCTTTCATTTTTCTGATCCTTACTCACAAAAAATAAATATTTTAACATTAATACTGTCCCCACCCTTGGTCCTACCACACTTTTTTTTTTTTTTTTTTCCCTTATGTTCAACATCTCACTCCTCTACCACTAATCACAATTTTTAAATCTGAGGTTATTTTCACATTAAGCAGATAAACAAAAATAGAAATCAAAAAGAAAATTTTTTTTCTATTAATTCCAACCTACAAGTGGATTCTAACCTACCTGAAAAAAAACTAATTTGGATAGTTTCCAATTATGACTCTGTTTATTTCTGTATCCATTTGATGAAGAACCCAGGTGTGTTTGAAAATTATTAAACTTGGAACCTCAATCTCCGTGCTTCATTTTTGTCATCTGTTAATATTAATAAATGTTTTTCGTATTTGTGGAAGATTGGTAATCTTTCGTTTGACTTTGTTTTATTGACCAATTTATCTACTCTATAAACTATATGAAGTATACATGGACTCTCTTCTTCTATATATATATATATATATATACATATAATCTGTTTGCCCATTTATTTTGACTGAAATTTCTGTTAAATGGTAGGAACTGCAATGATGGAAATTCCTGTCTTTTGCAGTTAATAGATTCAATCTAGTTTTATTCTTTTGATCTTTGCCTACAATAATCATGACAATTTTACAAAAATTAAAAAAAAACCTTTAGATCAATTGTAGCATTCTATAATGTAATAAAGACTTATGTTTCTATTTTAATGTATGCTTTTGTAATCTTTCAGCTCTTAATATCACTTTTGGCTCTTTGTACAATGAAAATTTTTGGACATATAAAAAAGTCGTTATAAATAAAACAAGAAGGTTATTTAAGTTGGTAACTTGATTTTTTTTTCTTTTACTTATTTATATATAATACCTATCAAGATATATATTACCAATTTGTGACTGGTAGGGATAATTCCAAGGTGGATAGTAATCCATAAAGAGCTCAATGTAGACTCCCATCGTCACTTTTCTTGCTCCCCCTCCTTCTCTCTTCTCTTATCTCTTGCTTCCTCTTCCCTCTGTCAATCTAATATACCAGTCCAGGGTATTGTCTCCATTTACTAAGCGTTTTTGGTCTGAAGAGTTCAGTATATAGATATTCATGAAATTATAACCAAAATGAATCTTTGAGGTTTTCTTCTTGAGTATTATTGTATATATATGATATATTTATTTACATATAACATGTTCCAGTGTGTTGTGTATGTGTGTGTGTCAACAAATGTATATATATATATATATATATATATATATATAAATTTTTATATAAATTATAACAAAAAGTAAAATTTAAAAAAATAAACTATTAAAAATATGATATTTTATTTTTCAAAATCATTATCAATGATGATCCAAAGAAACAAAATGGCTATTTTAAAATGATTTTATAACATACTTATGTTATAATTTTTTATAAATAATAATTATATCTGATCTACTTTGTATTGAGCACTCTCTTAAGAATAAAGTAATTGTTGGTTATTGAATTCATTCCATATATACCAATTATATATGGAGATACAAATATATATATATATATATATATATATATATATATATATATATATATAGTGCCTATTGAGGTGTGTGTATGTGATATTTATGTACATATAATTTGCCTATTTCTCTCTCTCTCTCTCCCTCATATATATATATATATATATATATATATAAATAAATAAAATGCCTGTTGCTAACTCTCCTAGATGCTGACATCTTTTGCATAGTAAAAACGTTAAAATTTCCCTTCCATTCTGTCATGCAGTGATAGTTTGGAGGTAAAATCTCTAACTGATGCCGAATTGGTTGGGTTTCGATCCTGGCTTGAAGGAATCTGATGTCTAGTCACACTGATGAGCTGTGAAACAGTCTGTCTGTGGATGACTCGGTAGGGAAAACTTTATGTAATCTATGATGACCAATCAGAATTCAAGTATATGGTAATTTAAAATAACATGACAACACACTCTAGTATAAGTACAATCTATTAGGGCAATGAAGTTAAGATTAGATTAAATTAGAAATCAGTATAAAAATTAAATTTTAAGTTAACAGTGAAATTAAAAATTTCAACTGTCAAATTCTAAATTTAACCAAGCATCATGTTTAATATTATTTAAAGATTATTCATAAATGAAACTAGGAGAAAAAATAAATTTTATTGTTCTTAGCAAAGTGCTAATTTATCAGTTACATTGAACGCTAATAAAAAAAGTATCTCTGATCACTACGCATATTTGATACATGGAAGTTTGAATTCAAATAAGGAGGTAGGTAGGGAAGGGAATTTTCAAATGACAGGACATTCACATAACAATACACATATGTATAAGTAAACATGTGAGCACGCTAATACAAGGAAGTATATTCACACAGGAAATAGAGGAAGGAAAAATATAAAAAAATAAAATAAGAATAAAAATTAAGACAAACATACATATAAAAAAATACACAAAAGAAAATTGTCAAACATCTGTATTTACAGTTAAAAGCATATACAAGCAATCACACACACACACACATACAAATATCCAAATAATCAGACTCACCAAAATTCAAGCTAAATTCATAATAAATTGACACAAACCAACCATCAATATTTTACGTACACAAACATATAGATAAAGAGGTTCAAATAAAGAGATGCATATACATGCATATGTACATGAAATTGAAATACACACATCTGGCTATAAACAAAGCAAAAGAAAAAAGACATATAGACATACATATACGAACAACCAAACTCACATGTTCAAAAAAAAAAAAAAAAAGAATATGCACACAAACATATAAATAAAACACCCACATTTTTTTGTTTTTGTTCTTTTATTGTAACAATTGGCTATCTATATGTTAATGATGTTAACATTCTTTACTTTGTTATGGATTAAAAATAATTTCTCTTTTTTTTTTTTTTTTATAAATTTTGAAACTTTTCATTTTGTAGGAAGAATTAATTCAACAATGTGGATCTGTCATGAAGGATACTATCAGGTACAGTTTGTATTTATTGTTATCTATGGTTGGCAATATTGTTTATAACAAAAGTATAAGTGTTTTGTTTTTCTTATTTATTTTTGCTAAAATCTCATCACACTATTGAGCATTTGGCAAAAATAAAAGCTCTCTCTAATTCATAAAGCTTTTGGAACTGATTTGGATTCTTGCTGAAAGATAGCAAACAATTTTGTATAAAAGTATGCAAAGAAAGTATTTATTATAATTTATTTAATATGAAACTGACTTTATAGATCTACAGGTGATCTAACCTCTTATCTCCCCTTAATAAAGACAGTCTGTTAACAGAAGGAATTACTTCATACCAAGAAACAAACATGTTATTACCATAATGACAGAATATCATACTGGAAGAGATGAAAAAATTCAATAAAGAGGTCACAATCAGTTTTGTTGACTTTAGTAAGGTGCTTGATTCTATTAGCAAAGATCTAATGTTCAAAATCTTCCAACTCTGTGGTGTACCCTCCAGAATTGTTAAAGCAATTAGAACTCTGTACAGAACCACCACTGCCACCATTATATTGCCTGATGGCAAGACTGATTCCTTTGAAGTTAAAGCAGGAGTTCAGTAAGGTGACACACTTGCTCCTTTTCAGTTTATAGTTGTTCTGAACTACATTTTGCTTATTTCTTTTGACAACATGTAAGAAAAAGGACTTCTTTTGAGACCTCTCCAGAGTAGTCAGTACTCTTCACAATACCTGACAGAACCTCATTTGAGAATCCCATGCAATGCTTAACACAATTTATAGAGAACTGAGCCCAATCTCTCTTAAGCTCAAACAATTGCAGTTCGCTGGCCACTGTCACAGAGCAGACAGGGAAATCATCCCATCCTTACTCCTATGGCATCCTTCTGTGCATTGTGTGGATGGAATATAAAATTTATTTATTTTAATAATGAAAAAAAATAATTTTATTAGTTTCACTCCATTTTTGCTTTTTATCACAACATTGGTGGGATAAAACAATTTGTGTACAGTTTTATTTACCCACAAAAAATAGTATTATCCTACATTTTTAAGAATTTTACAGAATCCATTATTTTTTTAGTAAATATTATTTCACTGTTTCTGCTTTGTTGTATTTCTCTTTGACTTTAATACATTAATGTCTTGGCTCTGTTTGTGTGTAGGTGGGGGGGCAAAAAGTATATGGCTAAATACTAGTAGCAAGCATAGTGTAACCAAATGCCAATCCTGCTTTGAATAGTGTTTTTTATTCCAATAGAATCATTAATGGCTATGTGGGTAGTAGCTGTCAGCATTGATATTGTGTTTTAGAATAATATGGGAAGTATTGTATTCTTGCTCAATCTCTCTCTCTCTTTTTATATATATAACATTACTTCTCTTTCTTTACCTTGTTCTTTCTTCCTCTTCCTATTTTGTCTTTTTGCTATTTTTTTTACTTTTTCCTTTTTTTCTGTTTTTCTTCCCTTCTTTTCCTCTGCCTTGTTAAAATTTGCTTTAGGCCAGGTTACATTTTATTTTATCTTATTATCTTAATCAGTTTGAAAATCCTTACAAGTAAATCATAACTTGTTATGGTGAAATGATTATAACTATGAAGTAATTTTAAATTCCTAATTTATATGCTATGTTCTCTTAGAATAAATACAGTGAGCTCTCTTTGTGGATCAGTTTTAATATTCTATATTATTAGGATTTGCTTGGATTATGTAACAATGGCTTATTACGTGTATGTATGTATGTATGTGTGTGTAATATATATATATATATATATAAAGAAGAAAACCTTGGCGATTCATTTCAGTTATAATTTATTTCATGAATATCACTATATTCATCACTTCAGACTGAAATCTTTTAGTAAATGGTAACAATTTACCCCATACTTGTATACTAGATTGACAGAAGGGGAAGCAAGAAAAGAGATAAAAGGAGGAGAGGAAGAAGGAAAGGGACAGAGGTCAAGTTCTTTTTAAAAAGTGAAATAGAGAGAGTGAAAGAAGAAGGAAGAGATGAATGGATATCAGCAAGCCTTTAGATTGACCCCACCAAGAATTTTTCCATTTAAAGTGTGGAACTTTGTACATTGGATTATACAGCAAGTTGACCGTGTGTGTGTGTTTTTATATTGTGGATCATGTTTTGTATTTTTCTTTATATGTAGTTGGATCTCTGATTGTCTTGCTTATGTATACAATATTCATAATCCTAAATTAACATCTTTTATATTATCATCCATACATCACCTTACTCAGCTTTTTTATTTTTATTGTTTATAGACCTTTCACATTATCAGTCTGATCCTTGACCATTCAGCTATGCCAGAAGTATTGTTACAAATAAAGTATAAATTCTGCAGAAAAAATATGCAGGCAATAACAAATATTTATAAGTCAATAAAATTAAAAATTAATTAGCATTAGTTTTTACAAAGTTCTTGTATAAAGCAAAATTTTGTGATTCATGAGATGCTCTCTGCTAGTTCAAACTTTATGTACAAAAATGTCTTTCCTTTCAAAAAAAAAAAAAAAAAAAGAAAAAAAACTATTAAAAAATAAGTTCTTTATTTCTACTGAAGTGCCTTTGTGAAGGGGGATTGTAAAATATTTGGTAAAACATAAGAAATGCTGGGTAACATAGAAGATGGATTGCTCATTGTCCAAATTTACAAAACTTTAAATCCCATTTTTTGCTTAACTTAATAAATAATTCTTTGTCACTGTTGTTGTTATTATTACTATTATTTCCTAAATCAGTTCCAGTACTGTCTGCAAGTATTATACGGGGGCTGTGATGTATGGAGTGGATGATGTTAAGCTGGAGTGTGTCCAATGGCTTCACAGAAATCTCCTCTCTTTGCGTGATGTAAATCTTCTCAAAGAGATTAGGTAAGCTGTAGTTATTTCCCTTACTTAAAGTGTGCCAATCCCATCAAAAAAGTAATTAGTTATGTTTAATTAATATGGCTGCATTATTAATTATCTTTATAGCTATTTAATTAATGTCTGTAATCATCACTTGATTGTACATTAATTAAAATCAGATTGTAGAAAATGTTTGTTTGAAGGTGGATGAGTATTAATAAAAAAAAAGCTTAAATTTTCAGATTTACAACTTAAAATAGCAAAAGATAATTTGAATTAATATTAATTACTAAGGATTAAATTTAATGAATATTCTCTAAATTTAGAAGCCTTGCTTGTCAGTGGAGTAACTTGAACCAGAGTGCTTGTGTAAGTATAGAGATTAAAACATTACTAATAAATTGACACTCTTCTGTTGAAGAGTGATGAAAATGAAGTTGTAAAACAATGTTATTTCATTAACACATAATAGCTTCCAGCAACATCTAGGTCGATCTTACTTGAATATTGTGTCTAACCTAGATTCCAAAATATTTAATTTAAGTAAAATAGATGGCTACACTCTAAACCATAACTATTTTAATTTTCAAATAGGCAGTGTAATATTTATCAGGTTGTAGATTTTAAATCAGTGGCAATATATAATTATTTTTAATAAAATAAATTGTAAATTATTAGATTATTTTGTATAAAAATATTTTAGAATTTTATTTTTAAAATTTAATTAAAAAATAAATTTCTTTATTAAAAATAATTAAAAACAAAAAACTGGTTTATAAACATAATGCCTCTTCAAATGCCTTATTTGAAGAAAAATATTCATTAAGGTTTTAACCTTTTAATAATTACTTTTATTCGGTTATAAAAAAAAGTTGTTTTTTCTGGTGTTGAGTTTTACTGGTGTTCAGTCAGTGGTATTGAGTTGTCCTGCACCCAGTTTTTCAGGCAAACGTTTTTTAGGTTAAAAATAGATTTTCAGTAACCTAAACATGTCAAGGCCTCTTGGATGTTTGTTCAAAATGATGACTTGTGACCAATCACTAGTTTTTATAAGATTTGCCATGAAGTGTAATTATTTGATATGATATCTCTTGATTATTTAATACATAATGGGGAAATATCCACATCCAATACAAAAGATAAATGGATGCAAACAACAAGGACGTAATTACTCCATAAATGATGCTATTGCCCTCGATTGTTGTTGTCATAGTGATTCAACCAGTATGTTCCCTGGTTTTCCTTGTGTGGTTGTGATTGAGAATTGCACAGTCAATTTACTGCACATAAATCCAAGGGATGAAACTTCATGATTTGACAACTAAACTGTGTTCCTGTTAAGAAAAATTGGTTAAAACACTGTAACAAGCATGAAGGTAGTAATCCAAGTAATTGGAAGTAATAATGAAAATACTTAATATCAAAACTTCAAACAAGAAGTGTGTCAGTTGAAAATTGATGCTGTTGATTGGAATTCTTCTTGCAAACTATCAACAAATATTTTAAATTTGAAGAACAAATATCTGTGGTGTAAGAGTGAAAAAACATCTTTATTTTTGCAGTCATTATAACAAATTGTATTTGTGAAATTAATATAATTGGCACTTAGAAATAGAAAATTCAAATTTTAGTTTATTGCATTTTTCTTGGTTTAATAAGATGAAAAGAATACAAATTATTCTCACTATGAAAAGTATTTGGATTATTTTGTCTAATAGTAATCGGAAAAGTGAATAATTGAAAATAAAATATACTGGCTTTAAGATATGTAAAAATAGGACCAATAAAATACAGATAATGATTAAATTCTTTATATATGGATACTTTTGCATGCTGAGATGTGTAGAAAATTTTCTTGCACACGTGTGTGTGTGTGTTTGTGAAAAAAGACAAAAGAAAAACCTATCTTAGCTGACACATTCCGTCCTCTGAGGAACTTTATCAAATCAATTGTCTTGATAAAGTACTTCAGAGGATGAAACCCATCAGTTTTCCTTTTATCTTTTTCCATATTGTTCTTTTATAGATATACTCTATCTGAAAATTTTTACACACACACACACACATATATATATATATATATATTGTGAGAAGTCCTTTTTTGTCATCTTTTCCTTTGTCTCCTGTTATTGGAAATGTAATGCTTGCATTATATATTATTCTATTTAGCTGTGAACTAATGGAAGAAATAGTGGGTTCACCAGACCTGTATGTGCTGCAAGTTGAGCTTGATGTATATACACTTGTAAAAAAGGTATAGTTTTCCTTTAAAATGAATCAATTAATGACATTATTGTAATTATTATTTTGCAAGAAACTTAAAAGAAAATGATGTGACTTGACAAAATAATGGTTTGAAATGTTCAGTATAGTAGCACACTTACAGATATAGAGAAATCTTGAAAAACATTTATGTATACACAAATCGGTGATGATTATTTAGTAGCATTATAGAGTAATATTGCTAGAAATATACACTGATGGAAAATAAAATTGCAACACTTTTTAATATGTATTTCAATTTACCCAAGGTTAAATGTACAAGTAATAAAGATGATTTCATTAAATGATCAGAAATAGAAATCAAAATGTGCACAGGTTCCAAAATAAGGTTTTTATTGATTGATCATTTAAAGTAGCAGGAATTATGAATAAAGCTGCTTCAACTTACATCTCATATTATAAGGAGTTTCTTTTATGATGGATGGTAGCAGTACTATTTTGACTACACATGACTCAGTTGTATTACCATCACTTTACTCTAAGACTTTTTCTTACTATTTCGTTTGTTTTTAGTAGCAAGTAATAATCTATTTCATTTTTGCTTTATCTTTTAAGATCTTTGGCTAGTCTTTACTTCATTTTATTGCTGATTTTCATTATAAATTGAATATTGTTTGAACCAAAAATGAGGAATGAAAATAGTTTGAGATTATTACTTGGTAGAAGAAAAAAAATGTATTTATTTATAGGTCTGTCTGTATTTCTCAGATGAGATATTGTAACTATTTACACTTTTACATTATTAGGACTGTTGTTCTCATATTTATTACCATATTCACTATGTTTTAGCTATTGTATATTCCAGCTTTCTTTAGGTGATATACATTGGAATTTCAAACCGAGCCCTTTGTTTAGTCCAAGGAGGTAGATTGTTTTGTTCCCTTTGTTGTAGCCAGGTATTGAACTCGTAACTCTTTGGGTCAAGTAACTTTTTGGATTACTTCAACCAATGCTTTTATCCACTGGGTCATGTGCCCCTGGAAAGTTCCAAACTATATATTCTAAAGAATGCTGGAATGTACAACAGCCAAAACATGAATATGGCTATAAAAATGAGGACAGCAGTCTGAATGATGTAAATAGTGTAAATTATTTATAGGTGTTTTCAATTAAGTTTGTGATTAGCCTGGATGATGAAATAAAATCAAGTGATTTAGTATAATCTATAACACATTGCTACTACATTCGCTATAGTAAATGCAGTAGGATAAAACTAGTTGGATGAGATTAAGGGTTTTACTGGTAAGATAGAGCAGAGAATAGTAGTCACAGTTATCATGGAAAGAGATAGGAAAATCCTTTTTCTAGCAATGTCTGATGATAACACATGTCGAATTTTCATTCCTTACAAAAGTTTTACATTCTCACTAAACTAACATAGTCTGACATTTTGTTAATTTAAATTTTACTCTGGTTTGTTTAAATGTAGTTTTTGTTTAGCAGTTTCATTCCTCTGTTATCAAGGGATGCAATTTGGTGTAAAGACAGTTTTATCAACATAAATGTTCACTGACTGAAACAATTTCATCTTAAAGTCTAAAAGAAATTAAAACAAACCAAAGAAACAACACAAAAATACTTTGCACATAATCGTAATTAATTTATCTATATTAATATTTCATAAATTTGTCTTCATTTTGTTTTAATGCTTACATGCTACTGTTCATAAATATTTTTCTTTAAAATGACATTTTTTTTTTTTTTTTTTTTAAGTAAAAATTACAAAAAAATAAGTCTACCAATAATGTATTAAAATATTTTACTATAAAGTAAAATATAGAAATTGAAATTACTCAATCATTTGTGTTTATGAAATTGATTAAATAAATTAAAACATTTGTATAAACATGCAATTTTTCTCAGTTCCCAAATTGATTTGTTAAAACTCTTTTTACAGTGGCTATACTTACAATTGTTTCCTTCATATTCTGGTGATATGACAAGTCTAGCAGAGAAAATGAATTATTTTGAAGAATTAGCCACAGGTATTATATGTGTTTATACATGTTTGTTTATTATTTATTTTATGATTTCTTTCAAATATTGCTCAATATATTACTTTTGCTTTTAGAAATACAAAGTGTTTCTCATTAAAAAGATTAGTAGTTAAGAATGTAAGTCATTTCTTTTAAAGATATAAACTACAATTTATTCAGATGCTGCTAATGCACATATAAAAGACAAAAATCTTCTTCCTGCATTGTTTTATCATTAGACATCTGGAAGAAAAGGTTTTGTTGCTGGCATGAAGGCCATGATAGTTCTGCTGTATCACAGCTCATCAGTGTGGCTAGATGTTCGATTGTCTCTAGCTAGCATCAAAATATATACACACACACACACACACACACACATATATATATATATATATATATATATATATATATATATTATAAATTAACTGATTTAAAATATGTTTTTTTTTTTTTTTTTTTGGCTACAGTTATAACCATGTTTCAAAAATGGAAGCTAAAAGCTTCGAATTTAATTTTGTAATTAAATTAAAGACATTAGTTCCATTTCATCCTCAAGCGAATTTTGGAGTAACTTATTTTTAAAATTACTGGGTTTTAAAGGCACTGCAAAAATTCATAATTCATGTTTCCAAGGATACAGAGAAATCCATTCATCCAGACAAGGGGTGTCTGCATGTTCATTATCACTGTATTTTGTTGTATCAGTTATTAGTTACGTTTGAAGAAGGGTTTTCGTTTAGGTAGGGATGTATTTTTCAACAAATTCTGACATCCGTTAAATGCATTACGTCTGTATTTTTTAAAAATTTAGTGTTAACGGCAAAAATTCTTACGGCATTTTTTTCTATTTGTATACTTAAAGATTGTTTGGAGGTGTTTAGGTTAGAATATGTTTTATTTAACTATGATTTTAAATATTTTAAATCGGTTAATTTATAATATTAATGCTCTGTAAATTTACATTGAGCACTATTTTGTAAAAATAAAAATATCTATAAGAACACCGGATTATATATCTTACTGTTCTTTTTATATATATATATATATATATGTATATGTATATAATCGATAAATTGTCGCTATTTTATTTTAATTTTGTGCATTGTTTGTTTTCAATTATGTCAACTGCACAGTACAGTAGGGTCAGTTGGGCAGCATCTGTGAGGAAAAAAAGCACCATCACACAATTCACTCCACCAGAGGCCAATATCAAGTGCCTTGAGGAGGTAGTGCTACCCTGAGTCAAGAGGATGGCTGCTGGAAGACCCTATGTCTGGAAACAGGACTATGTGCCATGCCACATAAGGAAGAGAACCCAATTATGACTGTCAAACAATTTCTGCAACCACATCACCTCTTTCATCTGGTTACCTAACTCTCCAGACTGCATCACTCTTGTTTATTATGTGTGGAGCACAGTTGAGCAAGGCACCAAAAATGAACTGAGGGCAAGGATTATGGCACTATTCACCAGTTTAAAAAAGGAGTACATTCAGAAGAGTTGCTGGTGATTCTGAAGTCGTCTGGAGGCTTTGGTTGAAGCCAGTGGCGATTTTATTGAATAAATTTACTCTTTAGTATTGTGAGATATTTTTGTGCAATTTTGGTAAATATGTCTGTTAAAATGTCAGTATTGTTTTCATTTTTGTGTAATTTAGACGGCAATTTATCCATCGCACCATATGTGTGCATGCATACATACATACATACACACAAGAAAATGCTTTAAAAAAATATTTAAGAACTCTGGGTAAAAAACTTTTTTTCCAGTTTGCATATATAGTGAATTTAACCATTCTGTAATTGTTCTATAATTGTGGCCTTGTGTCAGGCTAAGTTGAACATTGTAAATTACTTAACCCTTTGCATATGTGTATGCAAAGAGTTTGATTTCTTTGGTATTATATTACCAGGTTTTATTATGGCTTCTGTTTTTTCTTTCTTTATTTGCCAAATCCATTCAAGACATGTTTATTTGATCTTTTTAATAGTTTGATGTTGATATTTTGGAGCTAATATCATTATTATTATTATTGTTACAGATGATAAAAGCTTTTACTACTTGAAGACTAGTGAAGGCAGCAAATATATCCGCGTTTTTTCCAAAGTGCGTTTTCATCACATTGTTAATGATATGCAATCTGTCAGAAGTCTGAATGCAGATCATATCATTCCTCCCGGTAAGTTACTGTAAATATCTCATAAGGAACATTTTAGAAAATTTGCACTTGTTTTCTCCTTCTTGTTCCACCTCTTTTATATACATTTAGATTCCTTGAAGTTGCTCTTATGTATATTTTGTGACAATTATCACAGGTAATAGAGTAAACTCCTACTTCAGGTTTTAGCTTATTGTTTTGTTTAGTATGACTAAGTCTTTTTTGCTCTGTCGGCTGTGGCTTCAGAATACTCCTGATCAGGAGGTTTTGAGGAGTGTGGAACCACCTCTTAATTGCTGGTGTTCCCAGGTCCACCCTGACTCAGAGTGGTAGCACCTGTTAGGGTTCCAGCTATGGCCAAATAGTTAACTCCCAAACTGGGATCAGAACACTATGAAAGTGTAAAAATAGGTTTTAATATCAGCAATACATATCTTGTTGGTATTAAATAACCCTCTGATGTTGATCTGCTGTAAAACAAAACAAAACAAACCAAACCTAAGTCTTTTATTGTTTTGGATTTAGTAGTAATGATTTTTATATTGAGTTCAGATAGATTCTTTTTTAAAATATTCTAAAATAAAAATCTGCCATCTCATCACCAATTCATGCTACTTCATATTTAATAATGATTATTACAAAGATAAATTTGGATTAACAATGGGATTGCCTCTCAGTGGAGTGATGGCATGTATCTTCTTAGAATTTCTTGAATCCAGTCCTTTCCAAAACATTTTACCCAAACAATCCACATATTTTTATATATTGATGATGCTCTACTTATATATCCCTGTGATACTGATTTACCTGACCCAGTAGATCAACTAAAAACTTAGTCAATAATAAACAAAACAATAAGCTAAAACCTGAAAAAGTTTACACCATTGCCTGTAATAATTGTCACAAAAAATACATAGGAGAAACCTCAAGGAATCTAAATAAAAGATTATATGAACACAAACTTTTTCTACTGTCATTTATATATATATATATATATATATATATATATATATATATATATATATATATGACAGTGGAAAAAGTTTACTGGAGAGAGTGCTACTAGAAGCCTGACATACAAAACATGTAAGATCCAACAAAATTTTGCAGTTTAAGATTTGCTCAGTGTTAAAGGCATCTGGCTAAACTCAGTTACGGAAATAACACTTTTTGAATTTTTTTTTTTTATTAAAATGTTGGTATTTGTAAATTTTGTATTTATGAGTGCATTTAAAAAAAGAAATGATTTAAAATGTCATATCTTACATTTTAATGTTTTTCCTTTTATTTTATTTCTGTAGAAAAGAAAGCAAGAAAAAAAAACATTAATTTCTCATGGGCACTTGTTTTAATGTTAATGTATGTAATTTTGACATGTTAATATTCAGTCTTTTCCATAAAAGCCTCTATGAACTCTCAGATTTTCCAATATTTACAGTGTCATTTCAGATACTGATGATAAAAGTAACTTTTAAGTGATTTGGTATAAAAACTCAACATACAAACCTGTTTTAGCTTTTAGGTATTTTTCTAACTAAACAAAATTTGATCTTGCTCTGCATTCAAATATTTAATTGCTTAAAATTTCACTGTTTATCTCTGTTTGTCACATTATATAATATATATATAATATATATATATATATATATATAATTTTTAATCTCCATATCAGAGTGGTTGCAGCCATATTTTTCTTACCAATGGAACAAAATGCTGGCTGTTGACCAAGGACTTGATAAAGGGTAAGTTATTTGAATGGTATATCTTTTTGTATTTATTAGGTTTCCTAAAATCTCCCTAGTTTACACTGTGAAATTGGTCAAAATAGTGAAATGTCCTTCAATTTCAACTGTTTATATCTCATTTATTTTTGAAGCTATTTTGATAAAATTACTATATTACCAAAATTTAATCTTTTATAAAGATACAATTTTATTCTATGTGATGATTAGTTTTATTCCACATCTCTTTAAATTATGTCACTATTTCAACAATGGATGCTTTTTTTTCTCTTTTTTTTTTTTTTTTTTTTTTCCTTTTCAAAGATGATAATTTCATAGTGATGTTTTTCAAACATTTGAAGTTGTCTTCCTACATATGTTAAAATTGTCCAATCTTAAAGAAAAAGAAATGATGCTTGTCAATTTGGTCAGCTTAAGATAAGGTTTGAAGTTGTCTTTCACAAAAGAATTTTAAAGTTGAAAACTATAGTGGATGAAATACCAGAGAAATTCAACTCTAAAAAAAATGAAAATTGTAGCTTCTCATAGAACAATGTCTCATCTTTAATAATTTGTTAGATTCATATCTCTGTGCCCATACAACTCAAGCCACACATGAATCAAAAAAAGGGTTTACTGCATTCATTTTATGAAAAACCATTGTGTCTAACACACTAAAATTAGTATTGGTGATTCAGTGATCACATAGTGAACTGAGTTTCATTTTAAATTAGACTTGTTTCATCGATGAATATCACACAGTTTAAATATTTTTCTTAAAAATATTAAACTGAATTCTTATAAATAATAAATAAACTAGATATATTATTAGTTCTTTTCTTTTAAATTTAGTGCCGTCACATTTGTCCATAAAAAAAGTTAAATTTTTTAAAATCTACTGTTTTCCTTTTAATTCATTTCACTTACATTTCCAGCTGTCAATATTTTCTCTAATTCTTGAGATTTGGGGATTAAATTCAAAATTATTTACATTCTCTTTTAAAATAAAAACTGAACTGGATATGTTTTTTTTTTGTTTTTTTTTTTTTTTTATTTTTAACTTTGGCACATGGCATGGATCGTAAAAGGAAAGAAAGAAAAGACACTTGGTGAATCTGATTATTCAAACAACTCTAGCATTTGTTATGAAGAAGAACAAATGACCTTCAGTTACGAGTGTCAAGGTCAATGGGTTGCAGTATACTATTACTTCAGCTTTTATATTAATCAAGTCATTGGTATTACACCCCCACCCAGTGCTGTAGTTAAAATTTTACTTCCAACCAAAGACTGAACATTATTTTTGATGGCCTTTGTTGGATTATATTGTATAAGTTGTTTTTTTTTATGCTAATGTTTATTCAATACGAGACCCAAGAGCCACTCAAGGTAGAGAGTTACTGTGTTGTTCTGAACATAAGAAAAGACAAGAAATGAAGTTCATTGGTCTATGCAGGAAACATAACATTTAACGATAGACTTGAAAAGAGAAAATTGTAGTAATTGGGAAAATGTCTTGCCAGGAGTTTTTTCCGCAAAGCAGCAGTTCTTGGGAAGAAACTCTCTGAATAGAACTTAATTCTTACTATAGGAATACAAATGGAATAGGGATGATTCAGGAAGATCATTCCAGCTGTCCAGAAAAGTCTTTTTTTTTTTTTTTTTTTCATCAGTTCCAATAAAATAAATAAGTTTCAGTCATGTACCTCCAATGGATACATTTTATAGCAAGTTCTATATTGTCTACTTTTGATCTGTTTTTTGCCCTACTGTCAAAATGTGCTTCTGTTTGTTCTTACATGCTGTAAACAAAATTTATTTTATTAATGTATTACTGAAAAAAAAATTAGCTTAATCTCTGTTGTGCTATGAACTATTTCAAGAAGCTGTTGAAATGAATCTTATATGAACAATCAGAATTGATCTTCCACCTCTTCTTTTTTTTTTTTTTTTTTTTAGAGAATACAATTTTCCCCAATGTTTAGGCTAGTCAGATCTAATAATCATTGATTCATATTATCTTTCTTTTACTTCAAGACTACCTATATGAGATTTAATGATTTTTCACTTGTTTGAAGCCTACATCTTCAGTTATACCCTGTTAAAATTGTCTTCTGGCTCAATAGCACAATCTTTGAATGATCTTGGTTGCTAATTGAGGTATCAAAATAAATTTGGTACCATTTTTTAATGTTTTGTCAAGTTCTCTGTGTATTAAGTTTTTAAATATATTGAAAGTAAAATTTTAATTTGTGATGCCTATATTTATTTTACAGTTTCTGTCTATGAAATTCCTGGAAAGCATTTCTTTTCTAAATTTAGAAAGATATTTAATTAAATATCTATCAATCATTCTTTCTTTTCTCTTTAGGCCTGATGATCTCTCTGAAGAAGAGTTTAATAAATCTGCTATTCGGTGTGGAAGAATCTTACAGAAAAATGGAAAAGTAAGGAATTGTTCTTTTTCTTTTAATTCTTTTGTCCTCCCCCACTTTTTTTCTTCATTTGTTTTCTAGAATGATATAAGATGCAATAATGTCAGTGCTATTTATGCAATCAATATTCTGACTTTTCTGATTTAATATGTATTCTTGTTGGATACTTGAATGAAGACTATTATGCTACTGCTACTGTGATTTCATCTCCTGTCACTTCTGTTTGGCTGAATAACAATGTATAAATGATTGGCAATTGAGTGACATCAAAAATACTAAATCAAATTTAAGTTGCTGTGAGCGACATGTACCAGAAAACAGGTGTTACAACTAATGTAATCAGAAAGATTTCTTTTTCTCTCTCAGTATTGGATACAAATCTGTTCACTGGGAATGAGCTCTGTTCAAATCATAGAACAATTACTATTTTCTCCACATTACAACAATTTTATAAAGTGTGTTAAGGAGAACATTATAAACAAAAGAAGACTGTTGAAGGGACGATGAAAAATTAAAATTCTGATTGCAATAATACACAGCACAATCAAATATTTCATTAATGTTATTCTTAGCCTAATATAATTTATATAGTGGACACCTTGATAGTGAGATAGGGTAGCAAGGTCTTATTATTGAATAGTGAGTTCAGTCTTTACTGGGTGCCCTATATGCGTGGCCTTGTACCAAAACAATGCTGAATTTAGTAAATATCTATATAATGAATAATATCATTCTAGCATAGTACCCATAAATATGATGTGATTATTGGAGAGGTAGGTGCATTCTGTCTAGGACACGAGAGAAGTATTTGTGCTCCAGACTGAGGATCAGTGTTACTCCACAGCACATTCTGCCTAGGATCAGTGCATATCAGAACAATGGAAATTGTCTGACACACACACACACACACACACACTCTTTTCTCATGTATATATATATATATATATATGTGGGATGATTATAAATTCATAATGTCCAATATTTGCCATAAGATTTAACAAATTTTCAGGTTAATGGTATAAATGCAATGATTTATATTTTAATGAAGTATAAATGTAGGACATTTAATATTAATGATGCTATATTATTTTCTGTCTTCTATTCTTCTGCTTACTTTCATTTAAGTTTGGCATTTTTGATGGTTTAAATTTTTTGTCATGTCAAGTAAATGAGTGTAATACATACTTATCTATCTAAATTATAAGTTTTAATAAGTTTAAGTCAAATAACTCGGCCAATTAAAAATGTTTTAATATTACTCTTGTTATTAAAAACTGAAAATTGTTTTGTAAAACCTGTTTCCATTGGTCTTTCTTTCATACTTAATAGAATTATATACAATTTTAATTTCAGTATTGTTGGCGATGGACTGGTTACAGTTATGGATTTGATCTATTAATAATCCTTACAAGAAGGTGAGCAAAGAATGCTTGTATTTTATAATTAATTTAAGCTAATTTGCAAAAATTCGGACTCTTAAGTGAAATGTTGACTTTCATAATAGCAATTTTTATAACAGCATTTGTAGGATCATTAGAAACACAGTTATCTCCCTTTTCTAAAACTGGCAAATGATCAAGAGATATTACAAATGAAAAATATTGCATTTTTATAAGTGTTAGATATTTTTAGATGTACTATTTCTTCAGTAAAATTTTTTTCTGTTCAGAATGAGAAATTGAAGAGCAAAATTCAAATTCCAGTGAAGTTTGTTACGTTCACTGATGTGCTAATACCTTTTGAGGAAGGCATGAATCCATCTCTCCCCCTCTCAGCTATGGGTTAAATAGTAGGACTTCTAATTAAAAAAAAAAATTGTCTTCAAAAAGCTGTTAATGCAATAAACACATGAAAAAAAGTATTAATCTTAGAATCCAATATATTTTTCAGCTTTAAATAACCCACAAAGTGTTGATAAGCCATAAAAAATAAAGCGAACAAACTACCCTTTTGACAGTAAAGAAAGTTATCAAAAGTTGTTTGTGAGAAACAGAATTTCCTGATTGAAGAAAATCTACTTTTGTATTTGTCTTGAGTACACAATATTTTCATTGGTGTATATTCATATTATAATAATTATGTGTAAAGTTTTGTAAGTACTACACCAGCACAATAAAATTTTGATCTCAAAATAAATTCTTGAGTTTGATCAGGTTGTTCGTGGCCATGCCCATGGTCTGTGTTTTTTTTTTTTTTTTTTTCCTTCTTGGAAAGTTGGTAACATTATGAAAGAACTTGTCCAAAGAGCATTAGCATTCTTAATATTTGATAATGTCGATTGGCAATATTTGAGAGGAATTAAGAAGCAAACAATTGGTGTCCAGGAATATTCTTTGTTGATTTAGTGGTGTTACAAAAAAAAAAAAAATGTAATTTTTCTTATGAGACACTCAGTAGGTTGGTTTTTGTTAAGGTTTCTTGTGAGAAACGAATGAAAATTTATTGATAGTATGTTTTTGTCATTTGTAAAAGCTAAGCAAAAAATATTGCTTTTATTATGAGATATATTTTATCATATCACTTAACAACAATGATTATATTTTTGAATTCTGAAATGAAACACTTTTATCACTAAACTCTGAATCCAAATAAGTTACTATAACTGGGATGTAAACAAATACTATGGCATGTTAGAGTAAAGAGGGTAGCAATATAATCTAAGCCTAAAATCCTGTATGATAAGTGAACCGGGAATAAATTCTGATGTTATCATACTTGGTAATCTTGAAAATTTTATTTTATATATATTAACATACCAAAACCATCCCTCTCTAAGTTACATTCTCTTGTCACTTAATTATTTTCAGTCCTATAATAGTATTTTTGGATAATACAATCTCCATCCTGCAAGAATCTTCTTTTGATAGAAACACTATGAACTCGAATGTCTGCAAATATCAGTTAATAGATATTTTAGATATTAATTGATACTATTTTGGATTTGGTAATATGATCAAATGGGACTGTTAATAAAGACTTTAATATCTACAATGTTATCAAATTGAAATTTCAATCACTAAGTCCTTTCAGTTGTAAAACACTATTGGTAACATTCAAATTTCTTATTGCAAGACTCTGCAAAAAGCATAGATCTGGTCTGTAAAAATTATCAGTAATCTTACCAAATCAAAAATAGTACAAACCTGTTAAACATAGTTCAAATATAAAGAACCAAAACAAACACTTGAATTCAGCTTTGATCAAAGATATTTGAAAAAATAAGACACTTCAAAGTTTTAGAAAATATCAAAATAATTTTAGGGTAAAATCTTCATGATCTGATTCATCATTATCATGCAGATTCTGGTTCATCCAACACACACTGCACATAATTAAGCAAGGATAAGAATTAATGACAAACAATTTGAACACAAAAAATACAAATCAATCCTGATTGAATCTATGAATTTAAAATTGGAATTAAATGTTTATCATTTAAAATAAATAGTTATGCAAGATGATTTGCATACACACAGAAAGTTAAAAATGATGGCTTGATCATGAATTGCTGACAATTCAAGAGAATGTAACTTTTTCTTTCTTTTTTTTTTTTTTTTTTTTTTTTGACACAAACATTACAAAAGGAAGATTTTGGTTAGTTTATCTGCATAAGATAAACTTCCCAGTGATACCAAAAAAAAAAGCTTAAACATTCAATGCTGAGACTACAACTATTTTAGTTTCTCACCTTGTTTAGCCTTTATGGCTGAACTGTCAATTGTATTATGTATGAAAGCTTTCTTCATTTGTCAGAGATGCTATTTTGACCTAGAAAGTTATGACAAAAATAAAATTACAATAAGATGAGAAGACTACTCAAAAGCAAATGCTGTCAATGTTTTCAATGAAAAACTTAATTTTTTTTTCTTTTTTACTTTATTCAACAGAACATTGTTGCTCTCTTTCAAAAGAAAAGACAATTCTTATCTTTCTTCCCATTTTTGTGACTTTCAGAGGTTTTTCTTTCAAACGAAATACACACAGTCAACCATACATAGGCTCCATCAGTCTTCAACCTGTTCGCAAGATCTTTTATAAGTATGTTTTTATTTTATTTTGTTTTTATTAATTTTATTTTGTTTTTATTTATTTTATTTTGTTTTTATTTATTTATTTATTTTTTTTTAAGTCTCTAAATGAAACTTAAGGGAAGGAATCTAAGATGAAAGGTCAGTTAAAAGCTTTCAGTTTTAAGCTTCCAAAAAGAATGAAGGTACTCATTAACATAATCACTTGTCTGGCTCCAGGTGATTGGCTGTTAATATTTCTGCTCTATTCTGTTTTTATTGGGTAGATGTAACTAGTTTTGAGTCTTGCCTTGCAACTGGTGCTATAAAGTATTTTGGTGTTATCAACTAATATTTGTTTTATGTTGAGTGTTACATTTTGGTCATTCATAATGTGTTGGTCAGTGTGTGCATGGATTACACTGAGTTTCAACAAGTAACAGTTTAATCTACATGATTTAGGGTATGTAAGGAAGTTGGAAAAGTATAATAAAAAAATTAAACCCAGACTTTGTCAGTTCTATTTAATCAAACTTGTTTGGATGAATACTTGCTACACAAATATCCTTTATATATATATATATATATATATATATATATATATATATATATATATATATATATATGACAGATGTAGATTACAGATACGATTACACTTATTCAACGAAAATTCTAATTTTAAAAAAAAAACCTAGGTGATAACATACTAACTATAAAAAATTAATCACATCACATCATTTAACATGATTGATATGTTTATTATTGAAAATATTAAGACATAATTGTTTGTTTGCAAATGCAAGTGGTTGTGTGTGTGTGTGTATGCATGTGCTCTTCTATTTGTTGCAAAACTCTAAGTTTTACTTAAGGAAAATATTTTAAATAATAAAAAATCAGTTAAAATATAATGGAACAGACCCAAAATAATATGCTACAAATATTTGCTAAATGATGATCATTTACAGAAAGTGATTTTAGAGTTCGTAATGATTGATCTGACAATTTTACTTTATAGCAATATTTATTTATGATTTATTAATTTGCATTTTATATGAAACTAAATACTGTGAATTGTGTGAGCAAAATTAAGTTGGATATTTCTAGCTGATAAAATACACTACCATTGTTGGATGAAGAAATGAAAATATGAGGTAAAAAATAATAGCCAAATTATTAACATTAATGGAGGTCATTTAGTTTATTTACAAGTCATCAGTCAAAACAGAGCATTTTAGACTAGATTTTTGTTGATGAGAACTAAGCTCACTTGTCTTTATGATAAAATTTTTGGAAGCCAATTACCAAAAATGCTTGAAGGCATTTTCTTCCACTTGCTTCTTAATTTTTTTTTTTTTTTTTTTAAATCTGAAGAATATATATGATAAAACAAAACTTTGAAGCTGAATGAATTGAACTTTTACAGTGTGTCATTTGTACAATATGTGCCCAAGTTTTCAGTCAGTAAAACTTGTCCTATTCAGTTGACCAATTGCCGGTTTTATTTTTTTGGAGAACTTGATTATGTTGAAACCATTCTTACTGATTCTTGGATTCAGCTTTCATCCCAGGTTAATTTTCAATCAAGAAAGATATTTATTTTCTCTAATATTGGTTATTTTTGTAATTTTGGAGTGAGTTCATGTGCCATTCACTTTAGAATGAAATTGAATAATTTGAAATGAACTAAAATTGTTAAAATTGACAGAGAAAAGTGCAGCAAACTAGGAATTATTTTTTTTTCTTTCTTTCTGTACTAGGTCACCATGCTTTTTATTTTTTTGGAGAAGACATGGACAATGTCATAATAAACTGCAATTTATCCTTTAGATATGAAGGATTCTGAATAGCAGTCTAATAATCTTTTTCACCATGACACAAATTAACTAGCCAAACAAAATCTAAGTAATGTTATAGAAAAGAATTTGGTGTAAAGGTGACAAAAGAACAGTATTAGTTGCAGGAAAAAAAAAACATTAACTTTGTTCTTTTTGTTCACTTGTGAAATAAATTTTATCAATATAAAAGAAAATGAATCTATTTGCAAGAAGATATTTTAATATTTAGACTTTATTTTTATGAAATTGAAATTTTGGATGAAATTTTTCTAGATAATATTTGTTTCATGCAATTTTTCCATTCTGCAGTTGTTGGTACACATCAGACTTTATCTTGTGTACATATCAATAGATTTCTTAGTCAGTTTTCTCCTTTCTTTCTTTTTTTTTTTTTTTTTTTTTTTTTTATAAGTAAGCTTCAAAATGTTTTACAAATCTTTTGGTTATAATTAAACAAAAATTTCTTTCTATTTTTTTTATCTGAGATTACAAGACCTGATCTAAACTTTTTGTAAAAAAAAAAAATATCAAATCACTTCTCTCAAATAGCACAAACATAATCTCCAGTCTTGAGGTCCCAAGTCTGGTGTTTTAATATTAGCCTGTTCCTTGAATATATTTAACTAGACAAGCATTCAATGAAAATTTAATGCCTTATTTCATGGCTTTATAAGACCCCCATCCCATTCCCAAAACAAAGCATGGCTCAAAAAAAATCACTGGTGGTATATGTAAAGTATATGATTAGTTAATGTTTACCAAGATGCTGTAGATGATCATCCCCCATAAGGACCCCAATGACGAAATAGGCAAAGATTTACATTATCTCAATAACCAAACTGGTGGAAGAGGGCAACGCTAGTCAGAGGCATAACCAATGCAGACAAACATCTGGCAGCCCAATGCAATCAGGTTTGCCAGATGTCACCTGTCTCAATCCCCTTTGAGCTGCTAGGGAAGCACTTCTGGTCACCAAAATCAAATTCACACGAATGGCTTTGTCAAACTTTCCTTGACAAATCTTCACAGCTATCTCCACCACTGCCACAAGAGGAGAGAAAAGAAATAAGGAGGGAGGAGGATGATGATCCCAATGCGGCAGGTGCTCGCTACTACTAGATGACCAGTGCTATTACCTAAGCCTCTGTAACATTGTAATATTAAATACAAAGTGTGTGTATGGTGTGGTCTTGTAATGTCATCAAATATGGTAATAAGAAATGTGTTGATTGAGGGGAATTTAATGTTTAAACACTAAATTTTGAAGAATTTTTCAGCATTGTTGTGTACAGAAAATCAAGAAAGAAGGGGTTTCTCAGTAGTTAAGAAAGCAAGTATTAATAACAGAATAGGGCTTTAGATTATATATAAAAATGAGTGTGTACTGAAAATTTCTGTTTGATCAAGATGTTTTTACCACATTCTTGCAAAAAATATATATATATATACATATATATATATATATATATAAATATATATTGATTAAAAATGTTTTTTTTTCGCTATACAGTTCTAACCCTGTTTCAAAATGGAAGCTAAAAGTTCAATTTAATTTTGTAATTAAATTAAAGACATTAGTTCCATTTCATCCTCCAAAATATATATATATATATATATATATATATATATATATATATAGTAAATGATTTCACTATAGAAATTCATTACTTGTTAGAAAAAGGATTCACTAACCAGGAATTTCAAGCATTACTTGTATATAATTGAATACTGCCATATAAAATTATGTGACTTTAACCTTTAAAACTAATGCATTTGTAGATTTTAGTGAGAATTTACAACTGACTCGTTGGGCTTTTGGTGAAGATTGGAAACTATTTAAGATACACTTCTATAAAACAGGTAGTTCATATAGATCATTGCAGTCATAGTGAGTTTGATCCTCACTGGGTGTCTCACACTTATGGTCTTATACTGTCTAAGCTAAACTTTGAATAAGAAAACCAATTTGTCTGTTTTAGAAAAAAATAACTTTTAAAATCAAATCAAAATATTTAAATCTTGGAAACAAATTCTGATAAAACTAATCACTTTATGAAAATTTAAATGGAAACTGTCATGTTTTAAACTGAAAATATGTGGACTATTATTCTAGCTGTGCTTAAAAAAACTGCAAAATTGATTACAAGAATGTATGGCTTTTTGTCTTGGCTTGAAACAAACCTCTTTATTGTTTTAATGAAATTTACTAAGAATGGGATGAATACATCTAATAAGTTGATTAACAAAAGAATTCTCTTGTTTGCAATGAACCCATCATTTGCTAACTTTAAAAAGAAAATAGTTTGTTTCAATTAGGCTAAAAAGACACCTTTCTGCCCAAAAATCATTTTCTGACACATGGGCTGGAATCTTTAAAAGTTTTCAATTCAAGGCTCTAACCACTATGCAATGCATTCAAGTATATAAACAAAGATGATGGTAATATATTAAATGAAAATAAAGCTGTGTACAAAGAAAGAATAACTTCTATACATATATTATTTTTTTTGTTAATTGACATCACATGTTTCTTGAATTATTGTAATTGTTTCTGAATCATCAACAGATGGAGATCTACAGCATGTGTTCTTTACATCAGGATCCAGCATTCTAATGATACAGATGTCTGATGCTTTTTTTTTTTTCTTTTTTTTTTTTTTTCTTAGCTCACCAGAAATTTAATATGCTCTTAGCTTCTATTTATCTTTCATGTGGCCTTCTACTTCCTTTCTCACATAAAAAGACATAAATTAATGTGTTTTTGGAAGTGGTTTTAAGTTCTAAACATTCTTTTAATACAACTTCCTTCATTTATTTATCTTTTTTTAATAATTTTGAGTCAAAACTAATCTTCTGATATTTACACTTTTGATCTGCTTTAATCCACTTGAGCTAAAGCAAAAATTCTTTCCAAATCTTTTTCTCCTCGTGTTACAAATAGTTCATATGGAGATGAGGTATATATTCCTTCTCTTAAAGGGAATATAAGTTGTAGATATTTATATGCCTTTTCACTTTCACAAGAATTATGCTGGCCACTTGAGAGATGGCTCCTTTTAAATTGGAATCACTTTCCCATTTTATAAGGAATATCATTAATCTGGCATTTGAGATAGTATTTTCAATGTTTTTAAGATCAAGTTTTCATGACTAGACCAAATTTCAAATTGTTTTTAGCTGATAATTTCTATTCTGTAAATATTGTAGATTTTGCTGACACTAGGCTGATGACCACCTGTTTGTATTAGTTGAAAGAAATTTTGTGAGAGACATTAATGTGTGGGCCTAGGGTTTACATAAGCTGTGAGGAAATGGTTTGAAAACAAAGTTTTCTGAAATTTATTTTTAAACAAATCATGAAAGTCCAACAATCCCTTGTAAATAATATACTATTTTAGTTTCCAGTTTGTTTTCTTTTGTTTTTGACATCCCCTTGTACTTTATAATGATCAAAATATTATTGAATAAAACTGATATCTCTTTGTTTGGAAACTGACTTCTGTAAGATTTGCAATTTTCATCATTTAAATTAAATACTTACTTTTTGTACAGTATATTTTTCAGTTTTAGCATAAAAGACAAAAAAATATTGTCACTAAGTCTGTATATGCATTATTAAATTAGAATATTCTTTTTTTATGTAAAAAAAAAAATGTGCTAGAAATTAGTAGTATACCATCTAAAAAAAATAATTTTTTTCAATTATCATGTAATTGTCTGCAAGATTGTAAATCATGTAAAAACAAGACTATAATTTTTTTTGCCTCCCACATTTGCATCAGTACTCCATCTGTTTTTTTTTTCCTTTTAAGATATTGATTTATTCTATAGAGTCTGTTTAATTTCTTTTTCCTAGGTTAACTGTCACATCTTTGGATAAAAATGGAATGATAAAGTACACCAAATCTACTGGTATGAAGAGTCTTCGCTTCTTTCCAGATGAGGTAAGAATTTTGAATAAAGTGACCTTAATAAATATGCTAGTATAATTTATGATAGGTTGATCTTACTTTGTCTGTTTTCATGATATTTACAAAGGTTAGTACTGCTCAATGCTTAATGAGAGAAAATGGTAGTAAGATTTCAAGTGGGAGATGGTATGTCTTCCTTGAAAATCAGCATTTGAAATCCTGGCTGAAACAGCAATTTCTGCTACTAGTGGAAAATGCATAAGGATCTCAGCCAAGTAGATTGAATGTTTTAGATATTTACTAAGTTTAGCTGAGTGAAGCACAAATTGGGAGAAGTAACTTGCCTTGAAAATTATCATTTGAAATCCTGGCTTTTACATGGGCACAAACTCTAATGATTGGTATATTAGATATTAAATTAACAAATGCCAGATACATTAAACACCAGTAGATCTTTTTGTTGTTTTTTTTTTTTTTTTTTTTTATTAAAGAATATCCAGATTGCAATTCAGGATTTTACTACTTTTTTTATTATTACACATTTGTTTGTTTAAAATTGTATTATTTAATATTGTTGGTTATGAGTATTTGTAAAGTCTGCTGAGTTATGTAAAATTAGTGTTTTACTTATTTGAGTTTTTCTATTTTAAAAGATCTTCGGAATCTATTATTTTCTCTTTTGCTTCTAATGTTTCCTGCCGAAATGATAAATTTCTCAAGAGGTTTAAGTTTATTTTTAGGTAAGGTATGCTATCAGTTAAGCAAACTTAAACAGTAAAACATTGCTGGCTTGTCTATTTTTGTTGTGATAAAATTGATCCACATTTGTATTGAGTGAATTTCCTAATGCAAACATAACTAAGAAATATTTCAAATTCTCTTTTATTTACTTATGTTGATGTATAACTGAATGGAATCACTTTGAAAGAAGTCTTTTATATTCTTTAGTTTTCATTGTACAAAAGTTACACACTCTTGATTCTTAAACTCGACCAGGAGTTTTTTATTCAATTCATAAAGTCTCATTGACTTTTTGTAAAGCTAATTGTGTAGACTCTATATTTGCTTTTATATTTCTGTTGGTAAGTTTATCTTACTCAACTGATATTGTATCTATTGTTATAATTTATCAGTATAAAGAGAAATTAAATCCCATGATTGTCTTTTTCCTGAAGAGTGGTAGATAATAGCCAATGTTCAGTAATTTGGGAATTTTTATAAGTGCACAAATAAATTTGTTCACTGTTGAAAAGACTAATCTAAATGAACACACTCAGATTTAAAATTCCAACCACTTTGCCTGAAATTGCAGAAAGGTTTTGTTAAAGAAACCATACTAATATGAATATATCTAATATGTGTTTACAGTAAAAGACCATGATAGTTAATCTTTCATGTTTATGCTGATGAGGAATTTCAGACCAAGTGAAGATGGTTGGATCACTGTTGATTGGAAATATGGGGATCCTGATTCTTGAGTGTCATATACTATAAGCAGTTATCTTCCCAAATATCAGACATTCACATCCCATAATTTCTTAAATATTCATTAATTAGGGGCAGATAACTTTTGTTATTATTACAATTAAAACGAAAATAAAAATTGCTTAGATTGTGTGAAGCAGGAATTTGTCTTTTTGCTAATAAAATATTAAAGTGGACAGCATGAAACCAAGTATGTTATGATATAAATTGGTAAGGATGGAAATTTTTAAATTTCCTAAAATCTAAAAGAACTTTATCTTTTGATATCAAAATAGCCTTTGATTTTCATTGATACATTTTTCAACATTAACAAATAGAAATTGATACAGTTTATATTTTGAATAAATTCTATACTATATAAAATAAATATTTAAAAAAAACCAATGAAAGCAAATTTTTCAAGTTATAACATGTTACAAGAATGCCAACTTGTAATATATACTGTCCAATTATATCTTGCAAATCAATGTTTTCATAATAAAATTAATATTAATCAACTGATGTTTGTAATATTTTTATGCTGTGTGAAATATGTTAAGAGATCTTCATCTTTTACTTATTAAAAATATTGATGACTTTTTTTGGGAATGTCAAATTTTATTATACACAAACTATGTATAACAAATTTTTGCTTATAATTTGTTTGTCCAAAATATGTAAGCTCTTGAAGTGTATTTAACACAATAAGCTGTATATATGAATAAACTATTTTACAAGTGAATATGGGCTCATTGATATTCTATAATCTTTTTCAGTCATTAATTTTTTTTAAGATTCAGTTTATCACTAGTTGGAGAAATTTCTATTGCTTCCCAGGTATCTTTTTTGCTTGAATATTGTTTTCAGTTCTCCTGTACATCTCTTAATGATGGACTATAAGTTTTCCATTGACTTAATATCTGGAGAGGCTTGTGGGCAATAGTCAGCTTTTTGTAGAATGTAATGGTTCATTGTCTTGCATGAATATACATTTTCATAAATATTTTTTTTTGACCAGCATCATTCCAAAAAAATATCAATCAAAAAATTTATTATAGTTCTTTGCAATTATCTTGAAATCATCATGAACTTTGAAAAACCTATAATCTTACTTTTTCAATATAATTTAAAACCTTAATACACCTCTACACTTCTGTCTTCTAAGATAGCAATTGGAGGTTTAAAAAATGTTGTTGACTATTAGGTGATGTAACATTAGTAGACTAAGAGGTGTAGTTGATGTTGGTTGACTATTATCATCTGAAATTCAATCCCTAAAACCCAAATCATAATTTTCATCCATTATTCAGGAAAATAGCCATTACTAAAAAATGACTGTTGTGGAAATCAATTTTCATATACTTCTTCATTTGTAGTATATTTCTTTATGATGTTTAGATTATTAAAGGTGGTAATTTAAATCTTTTCATCTCTTTAATGTTCTGAAGATTCTGGATCTTTTCTTTCCATTTTGCAAATTAGTATCTTCAAATATTTTTTAATAATACTGAGTCCAATTTACTTGTTTATATAGACCTGAATTTTTACATTTTTTGGAAATATTTTTAAAAAGCCAGTTTTTTTTTATCTTGCCAATATTTTTGTATTCATTTTTTTGAATGTCCTCCTTTCTTCTCAGCATTTTTACAATCTCCAATGTTGCATTTCCCATCAATCAATTTTATATAAATCAAAAAAATATCAAAAACTAATATATATATATATATATATATATATATATATATATATATATATAATTTATATATAAATAATTCATTTTATGATAAACATGTCTAAATATTTACAGCAAATGTATGATAAAAAGTGAACATTTGAGGTGAAATTGAGCAGCAGATGTCTATTCATATGCTCAATGCAATCTTTTTGGTTATCAGAGGATTGAAGATTATATTTATAGCTTACATATGAATTAGGCATGAAACATTTAGACTATAGTCACTGTGTTGATCTCAATATCCACACACATATATAATGATGAACACCTCTCAAGTTGTATAATAAAATCTCATGTCACCAAATAAGTTATTATAAATATTTCTAATAAGAAAATATTATAACTGAAATTCACAAGGTATATTTATTATATAAGTATAACCTGACAATTTTACCAATGTCAGTTGGTTGATATCAATTTAATTGTAAAGCATTTTTAAATATTTATATATTATCTCCTATAACCATCTTGTATATAAAAAGTGAATGTTTTGAATTTACTGAACTATTAGAAAACTTTTAGAGAAGGAAACTTTTTTTAATATTTTAATACAAAAATATCATTTTTCCAAATATTTCTGATATTTATCTTGTATGTACAAAAACTGCATTGATATCCTTTTGTTTTTTAACTTGTAATATTCTGTTTTAACTTTTTATGGTGGTTAATCATGATGTTCATTTTACTGATTATGCAGAAGATTTTCCAACTGTAAGTTGCCATTTCTTTCTGCATTGTTTTCATCCCCAGGACAACCTAGGCTATAGGATTATAATTTCTGTGTTTTGCTGTTCAACCCGTAGGGCTCTCTGGGGGAGAGAAAAAATGGATAATTTGTTACCTTTAATAGTTTAAATTTTTATGTTTATATAAAGTGAATGTAATAATTTTGACTGAATTCAAAGACTCATAAAATATCAAATTTTTCATTCTGAGCTGATATTTAATGTACAGAACTGAGAAAAGGAAATTTAGTAGAAACGGACATTATATTTTGGATTCCAGTTTACAAAAGTCATTCCATTTAGAAGTCTTTCTAAAAATGTTGTTTTATCAAGCATTTAAAAAAAATCACTTAATTCTAAATATTGGTTAGATTTGGACTTCGTGTATAAAATGCATAAGAAGTTGAGTGTAGCAGCTTTCATTATTTTTTATAATCTTGAAACAAAGTGTAGTATCTGTCAGCTTAGTGATTTCAATGAATTCTAAAGTTAAATTTGCCTTTATATGATGAAGATTAAAGGTAATCTGTAATCTTGAAATCTCATGAAATATCCCCTTTTTATGCCAGTGGGACCTAAACATTTTCCTCACAACTCATCATTTTCGTAACAAGAAATTTAATGTAATTTCTTGTGACTGATTAGAGTCCCAAATGCTAACATTGGAAAGGGCATCTGTCTGGAATTTTTTATTTCTTAAAAGTAAATGAATCTGAGTAAAAAGTAGATTGATTTACATTTTAACAAATTAATTTTTTTAATTACTGTTATTAATTAGTTTACTCATTCTACCAAAAATGATGTCAGTATTTAATATAATTTTGTAATTGTATTTATAAAAATCAAGTATTTTTGTTTTTTGATTTTGTTTGAATTTGGGTTAAATTTAATTTGTAAATAAAAAAACTAAACAAACAATATTGTTGATTTTGAGAAGTTTCAAAATTAAAAATAACATGGGAAATCTCCATGTTAAACATTATTTAACAAAATATGCTATTTGAAAAAAAAATTAAATAAATATTTCACAGCCCAACTCTTTTTTCTGTTTACTACTTTTTACCTAAAAGATAAAAAGTAATAGAAAAAAAAATGTTGACAGTTAAAAA